GGAGTTTGCATGTTCTCTCCGTGCATGCGTGGGTTTTCTCCGGGTGCTCCGGTTTCCTCCCACAGACCAAAAACATGCATGTTAGACTGATTGGTAACTCTAAATTGTCCCTAGGTGTGAGTGAGAGAGTCAATGGTTGTTTGTCTCGTTTGTCTTTATGTGGCCCTGTGATGGACTTGCGACCCGTCCAGGGTGTACCCTGCCCCTCGCACAGTGATTGATAGACATGGGCACCAGCAACCCCCGTGACCCAAAATGGAATAAGCGGGTAAAGATAATGGATGGATGGATGGATGGATAACAAATATGCGTGGGTTTTCTCCGGGTACTCCAGTTTCTTCCCACAGACCAAAAACATGCATGTTAGACTGATTAGTAACTCTAAATTGTCCTCAGGTGTGAGTGAGAGAGTGAATGGTTGTTTGTCTCGTTTGTCTCTGTGTGTCCCTGTGATGGACTGGAGACCTGTCCAGGGTGTACCCCGCCCCTCGCACAATGAACGGCGAACCCGGTGACCCAAAATGGAAGAAGCGGGTAAAAGATAATGGATGGATGGATGGCCAATAACAAATTTTGCTGGGCAATTAATTGTCTCAGAAATTATTGTGATAAACAATAATATTGTTTGAAAATTGACAATAATTAGTAATTATCGTCAAATTTTAAAATAAATGTTGGCTAATTTTGAGTGTAGTATCTTTTTTTTTACCACCGAATGGCAGTATAAAACTGTTTGAACTGAAAGATGGATAGTGAGGGAGTGAGCAGCGTGTCACTTTAAGAAAAATGAGAGGGAGGCCCCTTGACGTGACATGGGCTTTTTCTCCTTCCCGTTTTTCCAATTCTCAAAACGGCGGACGCTCAGTGTGGTTTTAGCATTTTTCACACAAAACTTTTAATTAAAAAATCAGTAAACAAGTTCTCAGCTTATTTTTGCAGATAAAAACAACTTTTTACACGAAGGCACAGGTTTCAAACGTGAATTTTGGATCTTTGATAAGACGGAGGTTTTTCGGCCTGTTAGCTTAGCCCGTAGCTTAGCTCCTCAGCTTAGCTGTTTTTAACGATCCAAAACCACAATTTTATTTGGTTAAAACAGATTTTAAAGAGAAAAGAGAAAGGGAGGGGTCAGTGAAGAACACCAGAGTTGAGCTTTTGTCATCCAGTGTCTTCAGTAGAGAGACACGACAAAATGATGAGGTCGATAATTTTCATTTATCATGCGGTTAATTGATTCATTGTTTATCGCGACAGGCGTACTTGAATACCGTTTCTTTTCATACTTTATATTTTTGCTATTTTGGATGTAGCTGGGACTTTGAATACACAGTTTTGCTCCACCTCATGTACCACACGTGATGCAAATGACAGTAAAAATACTTGAACTTGAGTAAATATGAAATTATTATTGGGCTTTACAGGTGAAAGCTGATGTTAGAATTTCAGGTAATAGCTCCACGGGTATTCTTCAATATTTTCAAGGAAACCTTCCAGTTCAAATTTTATTTTTGTTCTTGTCCCGAGCTGTAACATTTGAGAGGGAAGCAGTAAAGAGACGCTGAGAGAGCTGAACTTTTTTATTGAGGAGGTGAACATAAAGAGCGACAGCCCCACAGCATCAGAAACACCCTGGAGCGTGATGAGGGAGAAATCCAAAGAACAATCTAAAATGCAGTCAAGGCACATTGTGAATCCATGAAACATCATGTTAAACAAATATTAACGCCATGATTCTTTTGGACAGAACCTCGTGGTGACTTCCGTTGGGGGAACATTTCATGGAAGTTTGCTCTGCAGCCAAATTCATGATTCTGCAACAACTGAAGAATCAAAAACTCTTGTCTAAATGTAAAAATCTGATGGTTACACATATTTGTTGGCAAAGGTAATCCACCCTTTAGATGAATTGTTCTGTAACAAGCGTTGCTGACCCACTCTGACTCTAGAACAATAGGAAACTGAAGAACATCAAGAGGTTTCATGTGTGGTCATTTATGTGACAGAAAATTACATTTTTTGCCTTCTCACACACTTCATACCTACTGGTTCCCAGTGTTTGTATCCCATGGTTGGTAGTCCAACCAGAACCACCCTTGGACCAGCACCGGGCCAACTCACAGGTTAACATCAAGTTAACCCTGGTGTAACTGGACTACCATCTTCTTTAAAGGAACAGTTTGAATCTGTTGCTCAGATGGGAGTGTTTGGTAGATGCTGTCTGGAGTCTGTCAGTGTCCCGTTACAAACCAACCCGCTGGAATGTCCACCGTGCACAGGTGGACCAGTGCGTTGGCTAAAGAACTCATTTTCGTTCAGGGCCTCCTGCTCCTCCGGGGTCCCCCTGTTCGAGTCTCTGGGAAGAGTTCCTGCCTGAGGGGCTGTTTTCCTCTGCCAGCGCTGTCTGATGACACACACAGTCAATGGGATCAGCAGACTGAGGCAGAGGACCAGCAGGACCGACACCACCACCAGCTCCTTCAGGTAGTTGGGACAGCGGGCCGACAGCGGGGACTCCTCACCGGGGAACTCTCTCAGTCCAGACCCTTTGGTCCACAGAGTCAGGTTCCTGCCAGGCTGTCGGGGGGTGACCTGAGTGTTCATGGCAGACAGTGAAGGTTTGGTCTCTGTTGTTTCAGGCCAACTCCCTGTGGAGGTGTGAGGTCCAGAGCTGGCTGCAGTGTGAGAGGTGGGGGCGGCTCGTGTGTGAAGCTGGGTGCGACTGGTTGGAGTCTGAGTCAGGGGGCTGCTCTTCTGCTTCACCTGATAGATGGCTATGGTCTGCCGGTAGCCGTTCTCTGTGGACAGGCAGAGGTAGTGGCCCAGCGTGGCCGGAGTGGCCACGAAGCTAAGGCTCCCATCCCCCAGCTCCAAGTACAGGTCCGAGGACAAGCGACTGTTAGGACGCTCCCACAGCTGCCGGGACAGCTGCGATGCTGCGGGACACTGCAGCCGCACCACTTCATTCAGGGACACGGACACCAGCTTGCCTGGAGGACACGAGGCTGACATACACGTTAGAGCTGAAAACACTGCGACACCAACACACGCCTTCACAAGTGTCTCATCTGATAGTATTAATTACAAACTAAACTAAACATGACTGTGTCTAGAAGAAAATATAAACACTGCTACAAAATGAGCCTTGCTGGCTGCTTCAATTAACAATACCTGTTAATTACAGGTGAGATGGTCCAACAGTGGAAACATCACTCCTAAAGGACGTTACCTTCTGTAGCAACTGACTCGTCAATCTCCCAGATCATTACAACTTACCTGTGGGCAATTTGTTTGGACCAAATCTGGTTCTGTGTGTGAATGAAATGCTGTTGCAGGTTTCTTCAACATTCCCTCCATCTACGTCCTGAGCCCTAAAAAGGAAAAACAGAACGATGATTCTAGTGTTCAAACTTTCTGCTCCTGCCCAGTCCTCAAAAACAAGCAGCCCCCCATCGTTGAGGGGTTTGAATATTGAAAGTTGTAGTTTTGCAGATGAATGTTTTATTGGACTGGAATTTAACAGAGAATGAAGTAAACCTTCATGATTTTGGTGAAATATATTTAAGTGGTTACATGCAGGAGCTACACTGCGAAGAAGAACAGAGGGAGGTTTTTGTTTTCAGGTGAAAAATACAGTGGGGCAATGGTGGCCCATGATTAATTTTTAGCCATCCCAATCATTTGAGGAGACTATACTTTTAAGCAATATAAAAACTAGAAAGCATAGATTCCTAAAATGATAGGGGTGGTAGAGCTCAGGATGGGAGACTGCAATGAAGTGAAGATTCAACACAATCTGCTGGCTTCCTTATAAAACTTTTACTTCTTTTTTGTTTCTTCTTCTTTCGACTGTTCCTTTCTTTCTTCAGGGGTCACCACAGTGAACGAACTCGCCTCTGTGTGGAGCAGAGAGCTGCCATCTAGGGTGCCCGGGGGAAAAGATGGTGGGGGCCTTGCTCAAGGGCCCAGAGTGTCCTCAGATAACTTTTATTAACTGACTTTAATAATATATGTGAATGTTGTGCAGTGCCCTGAGACGACTTCTGTTGGGACTTGGCGCTATATAAAATGAATTGAAATGGTAGATCTACATATATACACATACAGGTGCTGGTCATAAAATTAGAACATCATGAAAAAGTTGATTTATTTCAGTAATTCCATTCAAAAAGTGAAACTTGTATATTATATTCATTCATTACACACAGACTGATATATTTCAAATGTTTATTTCTTTTAATGTTGATGATTATAACTGACAACTGATGAAAACTCCAAATTCAGTATCTCTGAAAATTAGAATATTACTTAAGACTAATAAAAAAAGATTTTTAGCAATGTTGGCCAACTGAAAAGTATGAACATGAAAAGTATGAGCATGTACAGCATCAATACTTAGTTGTTGCTCCTTTTGCCTGGATCACTGCAGCAATGCAGCGTGGCATGGAGTGGATCAGTCTGGCCAAATTTCTAGAAAGAAGATCAGCTCCATGGATGGATGTCATCGCTCCACATCAAACCAGATTTTCTCCAAAAAGCACTCCAGTTATCTCCAGAGCTCACGTTGTTTTCAGAACACCACCTGGACAGCGAGCGGTGGAACGACGAGACATACGACTAAACATGTCGTCGCTGGTCAGGTTGGTGGCCAGGAAAAGAACGTTTTGTTTAAGAAGTTGTAAAGTCAGGAACGTAACTAACAAAATACCGTCTTGACCCGTAGACTTACAAAGTTCAACACAATAGAAAAACACAGACGATACAAAAAAAGGTGAAAAACCTCCATGATGTATAATTTTATATCCGTTTCTCATGGTCTTTTCCCATGAGATCCACTCAGCGTGGCATCAGTCTTTCCGCGAGGTTGTCCACTTCCAGCTCAGGTCTTACCAAATCGGCTGAGGTTCTAAGTCGAGCTGAAGATTTGACATCAGACTGCAGGCCATCGATTGGCCAGGAAGAGACGTCAATCAGTTTTACAACCTCAGAACTGCAGCCTTCATTTTAGATTTTAACTTAAAAAAACGTATAGTATATCCAGTAAAGTGGCAATATGTACTGTAAACCAACACTGTGGTACTATGAGGAGGTGCAGACGGAGCTGGACCAAACAGACTATTTATGGGCTTAGACCTTCGGAGGAAAAATGCCTCCAATTGGCCACAGCGTTCCTGGAAACGGTGGCAGAGGTCGGTGAGTGTTTTGAGACTTTATTTTATTTATTTGTCCGTTGCTGTGTTGTTTTTGCCATGGATAGAAGTTTTGGGCGGCAGCTCTTTGACGGTCCTGCTCCACATCACGTTACACTGAAAACTACTGAGAACGTGTGGACCTGAGTGGAGATGAAGCGAGTCGTGAAGAGACTGATGTAAAAACCTAATCAGGACATTCTTGTGATTGTAGTACTCACAGACTGCTCTGGGTCCCAGAGACCTCTACACAGGCCCTGCTGCCAGGATCCCAGCCACAGAAAGGGTCTCGGGCCAGGACACACTGACCACAGGTCCAGTAGAAGGAGCAGTTGGACGCTGGAACCCTCAGAACCCCCTCTGATGTGCCGATGTAAACCATACCCTGCAGGGAGACAGAACTGGATCAGAACGCGCTCTACTCTACTCCTGACAGTCTTCACTGACAGAAACATCAGAGACCTGACTGCTCTCCAAGAGTTTAAATTTCATCAGGATTTTTGAAAGAAATAGGACTTTCTTACTGGTAAATTAATGCTAATGCCTTGAAGCATGCTTATAATGTTTTGACCATTATCCTTCATGTCCATAATGATTTATGATTTGCTGCTCCTCCCACAGTTGTGTAGAAACACTAAAAAAAAACAACCAAACATCTAAACATGCAGGTCAAATTGAATTAGTGGTTTAAGACTTTTTGGAAACAATACATTTCACAAAATAGACAAAATGAGCCAAAAACAAAACAAAGATGTGCTAATAAGTATAGTTTGTACACAACTGCAGATCAATTTTTAAGATATCTGAAGATGTTCAACCTAAGGGGTAATAATGTGCTTCAGACTGTCTTTTATATTTCAAAAGTTTTTAAACATAAAACTTTTTTCCAGTTTTTTTAACACTTCCTGCAAAGGTTATACATTAAAATGTATCCATTTGTGTTACTCACTGCTACATATGGATATGTAGCTCGTCTCTCAAACCTCGTATGAGGGCTCTCTGCAGAGTGGCAGACCTTACTGCGGGGACTAAGGTGAATGACGCCCCCAATAAATGAAACAAACCCTACAGTCCCCTTTTTTGAAGAAGGGAACCACCACCCAAGTCTGTCAATCCAGTGGCACGGACCGATGTCCACGCAATGTTGCAAAGGCGTGTCAACAAAGACAGCCCAGCAACATCCAGAGATTCAGAGATTCTTTATTGTCATTCGCACCACGTGGTACGTGTGGTGGAACGAAATTATGTACACAGGGTCCCAGTTACATCCCACAATAAAATGTAAAAGAAAAACAGTAAAAAGATCTAACATATGAACTAAGACTATGAACTAAGAAGACTATGAACATCCAGAGCCTTAAGGAACTCCCTTGGGTTCCTCCCAATCACGTCCCTCCAGGTCTCACAGTCGTTACCCAGGTGGGCATCAAACTCCCCCAGCAGAATAAAGGAGTGTTCAGCTGAACACCTGCCAGCACCCCCACTAAGGACTCCAAGAAGGCTGAGTACTTGGAGCTGACAGTTAGGGCCAGGCATCCCTTCACACGAAGGCACAGGGAAACTACCTTCTCATCTACCGGGGAAAACTCCAACACACAGGCACCAAGCCAGGGGGCTAAGAGTAAACTCACACCATAACAGCACCTTTCACCATGGGCCACTCCAGATAAGATAATACGGTCAAGCTCCTCTCAAGGAGATTAGGTACGAAGCCCATGATGTGCATCGAGGTGAGCCCAACGATATCTGTGCCGTTCAGGTTGTTTTCACACCTGATAGTCCGGTAGACTCGGTTCGGTTGGGGACCAATATTCATGACCTTTTGTTACATTTGAGCTGGTGCGTTTGCATTCACACTGCACTGTGCAGTCCAGAAAACCTGTTCCCCCACTCGCCTGTGGGGGCGCTGCACCAAAAACTACTGAAAGAAACGACACAAAAACCTCTGAAGACACTTCTTCTTCTTCTTCTTCTTTTGGAAATTAAAACAAAAATGGAGTGGCGTCACATTTTAGAGGTTATAGGAGTTCTGTTTTGTCATTATTCAACAATGGACTCAGCATGAGCAGAAGATGAGGCAGAAGACCATAGAGAATGTTGTTTTTCACACAAGGCAGCTGACGGCTCCGTTTGAGGTAAGAGAAATTCGTGTTTGCCCTGCGCTGTACTCCACTTCCTGCTTGTGGAGCGGGGCCCGGTCTGTTTACATTCACACTGTACTCGAACCGCAGTGGAGTTCTCTTCTACCGGACCGAGACCTAGGTTTTAGTCCGGGCCAGAGTTTGCCTTTTTGTTCCGTGACAGAGTTCAATGGCGCGTTCACACCTCCCCAAATGAACCGGACTTCCTAGGCAAACAGGCTTGATACTGTGCTCGAATATAGTAATTTTACATCCATTTCATTGTAAATTGGGTTTATTTTTTAAACATTTACATTGCCTTTAACCACAAGCATTGTTAAAGAAAAGGATTCAAATTAACCAAGCTGCTTTTTATTTCTTAGTGTAATGTCAGCTGATGTTCTAGAACAAGACTGGTCTTACATAAAAACATGTAAAGTTACAGATTATCTGCATAATACAGTAAAACCTTCGTTTTCAGGTGTTCTCAGACACAACAGATGATCACAGTCCTTTGTCTGCATGTTCAAAATGTTCTGGGGGTTTAATAAAGTTGTGCAAGTGACCGTTCAGCGTGTTCAGTGTCTTTCAGCTCTCGGTGCGTACCTTGGGAACAGACAGCTTCAGGCTCTTGATGGGCTGTGGCAGCTCAAAAACCTGGACCTCCTCGATGATGTGGGCCCCGAGCGGCAGCAGCACTGCTTTGTGTAAGTAACCATCCTCTGTAAGACAGGAATGGACACGTATTACTTTACATAAAACAACCTCGAACAGCTGTGTGATCAGCACTAAACCTTTTATACGTTGAGTAATGTGTATCTCCCACAGTTTTAGAAAAAGGCTGCGTTCACCCTGCAGGTCTTAAAGTTCAGATCAGATGTTTCTGTGTGCTCGTTCTCATCATTTAAATGTGACCTCCTACAGACTCCAGGGTGGACAGTCCACGGTTCTGAATCGACCCGCAGAAGGTGTGATGTCACACGCAGCACCACGGAGGCTACACATGTTAGCATGCGCGAGCGGTTCAATCAGAAACAAATATCTGCTATAATTGTGTAGTCCAGGGTTTATATTTAATCTGGCCTCTTAGCTCCTCCGGTGCAGCACTGTGTTTCAGAGCGACGACCAGAAGGTAGAAACAAACCAAAGTATGGATCCAACACTTTAGCATGGATATGATCCGACACCAATGTTGGTATCAGATGTTGCTGTGGATTCTCAGTCATCCAGGACATGATGAATTCAAACAACTGGACTTGTGTTCTGCATGGGGCTGAACGATTTTTGAAAATATTGTAATTGTGATTTTTTTTACCCCAATATTGCGATTTATTATGCGATTATTTTTCAGTGTCTTCTTCTCATGTATTTCTCAACGAACACAATCAATAAATCTGTTTCAGATGTTTTCAGCTTTGCTGCAACTCTGTTTCTGCATTTTTTGTGTAGCTCTGGGATAGCAACTTGGCTAAAATGTGTGCGCGAGGGAATTCTGTACTGCTCATCCATTGTGTTTACCAAAGCCGTAAACCCAGGCTTGGTCACTGTATTAATGGGCATCATGTCTTTCGCTATGAACTCTGTTACTACTCGAGTTATTTCCATGTGCCGTTTCGAATTATGTTCATACGGAGTAATACCCTCGAACAGTTCGGTCAGTGATCCCTGTTGGCTGGTACTTTGTCTACTTGAAGTTGAAGAACTGGTCGTTGGCATTCTGGCCATGCAACGATTGTAAATGGCTTTGTGGTGTTTTATAAGTGTTAATAAAGATTTGAAAAAAGTCTGATAGGAATTTTTTCGCCTCCAACTCCAACATGTGTCCAGTTTACCACGTTTTTGTCTGTCCAAACAGATCTCACTTGTAAATGAGTCTTTGAGGCTCAATGTGATTTATCTGTTTAAATAAAGGTTGAATGAAAAAAATATTGCAATATTATTGCAAAATGCAATTAATTGTTCAGCCCTAGTTCTGCAGCTGAACACGTGTCGAGCTCTGGGCTTTACCTGTTGGTCCCAATATCAGCAATACTCAGATCAATCCACATCCTCCTCCCTCACTGAGGTGAAGTCAGATCAAATGAGACATGAGCGTTGGGACTGAGATCACTCTGAAAACCACCTGATATGGATCAGATTCAGTACCACAGATGAAAAAGGCCTGTGTTAGATTAGAAAACTCAGATTTGGGTCTTGTTTGTCTGCAGGGTGAACGTAGTCTAAGATCCTCTCCTGTTGAGAAACACCAGATCTGCATACGTTTTGGACAAACCTTTAAAGTTAATTCATGCAGGATCTCACACTCTGAATGTTTTGTGAATGACTCGCCTACAACCAAACCAAAGTTCAGCTTAGAGTTTGTAAAATTGTCTGAGGTCTCAGCTGTGGAGCTTCTAAGCTCTGAATCAGGTAAACTCTAGATGTACATCCAATGATCATTCTCTAAACCTTTTATTTAAATTCATCCAGCGGTGCATAGAAAATAATGGTACACAAACACAAACACAGACATGGACATATCATCCCATTTTCTTCTTTTAGCATCAGGTATTAAACATGCTTTCCAGGTTTGCTGGTGTTTATGGGTCTGACCCACCTGTCAGTAGAAACAGGACCGTGTAGAACTTTCTGTTGGCCCCCTGGACCCTCTGGACCATCAGGCGGCTGTAGGTGCGCTCAGCAGACACCACGGTCAGAGGTTTTCCTGCTGGATGCACGCTGTCCTCCGCCAGAAAGTTCTCTTTGACGAAGCGCAGAGCGTTATCTGACGCGTTGTGCAGGCCACACTAGCACAAACAAAAAAACTGAGTTTAACACAAAAATTAATACAACACACAAAACTGACCCGACATTAAACTAACACCTGCATAAAACACAAGCTGCAGCTTTTATACAGCTGAATGCAGGAGAACTAAAACAAGAGTTTAAAGAAAAACAAGACAAGACACAAAAACAGCATTTCCTGCCAAAATCCAGCGTGAACGCTTAGTGCTGAAGGATTTCTGCTGAAAAGGTGGAATCTCTAAACTGTTAATGTGAGCTGAATTTGAACAGCAGACATTTGCTGAAAGCAGGCAAATAAAAGTTGAAAGCAGCAGAAAAACAACGGAAATGTGTAGAAAAAGCTGATTGGAGCAGAAATGAGCAGAATAGATTGAAATAGACAGAACTAGAAAACAAAATATCTGAAATGAGCAAATAAGAAACTGAAATGTGCAGAAAATGTTGAAATCATTAGAGCGAAGCACAAAAAGATGAAATTAGCTAAAAAATAAAAAAAAAAAGACAAAAATTAGCAGATAAATACCTAAATAATAGTTGAAAAAGCTAAAATTAGCAGAAAGAAGTTGAAAAAGCTGAACCTGAACAACAGCTGAAATGAGCAGTAAAAGGCTGTGAACAGCTCGAAGGGTCTGAAGGACATGATGAGAGCTCCACTCATTTTCAATGAGAAAAACATGGCTAAATATTTAAAAAAGTAAAAACTGCAAATATCAAAAGTCACAGCAGGAATGTCCTGCATGAGCTGAATGTTTTGAGACATGAATTGTTAAAATAGAACAAAAACTCATGAACGAGTCATCTGATGAAAAAGGTACAGAAGAAAAAAATGGATCCGAATAATGAGAAAACTCAGAAACATCCACTGTTGATGAGAAACAGGAAAAAGGTTCACCCTCTTTCAGTTCCAGGGTTTTAGGTCTCAGGAAACAAAAAATGATCTGGTCTGTAGAAGGTTCTTACCATTTTCTTAACACATTTTAGACATGAAATCATTTAGAGATTTAAAGGTAGTTTATCTGCAGGCTTATTATGCCCTTTATAATTCCAGGAACCTGATGAGATGTGTTGTCCCAGATCAATTATATTGATGTGAACACTCACCTCTCCCGGATTTGCGACCTTCTCCTGAATGCGTGCGCTCCACTGTAACGTGTCCCTGTTCAGGACCTTGTAGTTTCCAGAGAAAACAGATTTGATTTCTGCCAGACGAAATGAGCACACTGCCGACCTTCCAGAGTTCACGGCCCTGGTTCATGGAAATCACACATTAGGGACATGAAACATGAATTCATTGTCTCAAGAAGTCTTGCTGGAAGTGGACAAAAATTAGCCACATTCTCAAAACAAGGGTCATTTTTCTCTATTCAGCTGAGGTTATTCATCAGGTTAGATTTGCAATGTGAGAAAGGCCACTGACCACTGAGAGGTGAAGATGCCATAGAAAAGCGTGTCATCTGCAGGAGCTCCCTCTGCTGGTGGGAGGATGTCGATGTCCTGGACCACATTGTAAGGCAGCTCACTGCCAGCCTGGCACAACAGCTGAGCTTTGGCAAACGTGGTCCATCGTCGCTGTAGAGTCCGCTGACCTCCAACGTCACTCTGAACAGGGAAAAGAACCCGGAACACCACAGAATGGTATCACAAGTTCACTTAGTACACGAGCTAGCCTGTTGGATCTGCGTTTGACAATTCTGGGACACTCCCAACTGTATAGTGATGAATCCTTATACAAGTAAACACTTTCTTAAAAGAGCTCTGCAACATTTTACACTTACTATGCAGATCTGAGACACACGGGACACAATGAACTTGTCTATGAAGTTATACTCTCTAGCCACTTCACTGAAGAAGAAGAAGATTTTCTCCTCATGGGGAATGAAGATGGAGCTGATGAAGGTTGGATCTGTAGGAAAACAAAGCTGTGCTGAAGATGAAAAATGTTTGGAGGAATACTAAAACAAAAGTCAACCAGGCTGATTCGTCAACCGTTGCTGAGGGGTCTGAGTAGTGAATGTTAGTAGATTTGGGGATGTATTTTTCTAGACTAAAACTAAACATGGAATGAAGTAAACCTTAACGATTTGATTAATAAATATTCAAGTGGGTAGGAGTTACACTGTGGAGAAGAACAGAGGGAGATTTTTTTTTTCTTGTTTGAGGCAGCACGAAGTGACGGATCCTGGAGAGTGGAGGGTAACATGGTTATCAAAGTCAACGGTTTTTTTTTTGTCATATGTACCACATGTGGTACATGTGGTGGAACAAAATTGTGTACACAGGGTCCCTGTTACATCCAACAAAAGTATAAATTGTAAAGAAAAACAGTAATAAGATCTAAGATATGAACTAAGAAAAACGTTAAACTAAAAATACGCTAAGCACTAGTAGTACAAAAACAATACGTAGAATAATATGTTATAGTATAGTATAATATAGTATAGGAACAATTACTGTAGTTTTTAAACTCCAGAGTAAGCAAACTGAAAATGACCAGACCACACTCAGACAGTAAAATGACAAGTGTTTTATTTACAAAGTGAAGTGGTTCTCAGGAGCTCAGGGATATGTTCTGTAGAAATAAAGTAATGACAAGTATCTGAATCCAAGGAAATTATGGTCTGGGTAACTCTTCAATGAGATGATGTCTTACTTTGTTCCTTATGCTTTGCAGGTCAGGAGGGGATCAGATTAGCAGGAGCCACAAGGAGAACCACAATTGTGACAGGTAGTGCAGGTGAAGATAGTGGCAGAGCAGACTCGAGAGGTGTTTTTTTCCTCTTAGGGCTGGAGATCATGGATGGAATGTCCAGAAGACAATAGAAGATTACTAGGGGTTGAACCTTAGGTGAAGTATCTGGACATCACTTTCAATGCAGGGAACCAGAAAGCCAGGAAATCTAGAGGCACAGGAAAGAGATCACAATTAGGTTTACTCAAGATAAGATAATTCTACTCAGTCTGTTACACTGTACCAGAATGGTATGAAATGTTCCAGCGGAGAAAAGCTGACACACAGGGCCTTAAATACCAGATCTCATCAGTCAGGATCAGGAACAGCTGGAGGTGGTTAGAGCTGCCCTGCTACTCAGGAAGCTGAAAGGTGTGGTTAGTACACATAAAAATGGTGAGTCCTACAGTACACTCACTCTTAAGAATTGCCTCTTGGCAATTTAATCTGCTATTCTGGATGGGCCCTATAAAAAGCTGAGATCCAACATGCATCTAAAATAACAGATCTAGGGATCCAGGATCTTTCCTCAGGTCTGCAGCCCTCCCAGTCCACTAGATATTGGAAGCATCTGCACCGTGGTGACCAGAATGCATTCATTGAACCTTTATTTATACAGGCCATCGAGCCTCAGGGATTGTTTACAAGAGAAACCTGATTTTACCAAAGAGTGATGACAACAGTAGACCAAAAAGACAACGGTAATCATAAAAACATATAAATTGAGAAGAACAAATAAAAGAAAATGGTATAAAAAAAACCCTGCTAGGCATTGAACAGAAAAGGCTGGGTGGTTCTCGATAAGCCGAGGGAAAAAGTGGGATCGACCAGAGGGCAAAGTGGGCTTTCGGTTACGGGCTTGACCCGTCAGACGTGGGGTGAATTCTCATAGATGGCAGTTTGAGTCTGACAGCCGAGGGATTGATGATTCTCTCCACTGGGAATGAGCCATTGAATCTAGGTGCCAGTTTCCTAGGTGTCCTTTAAAGAGAAGTCCTTTGTAAATATTCAAACTCTTTGACCCACCTGGTAGATAGGGGCTGAGGATCTGTGCCAGTCAGTGAATGTCTTGTTTTGGTCTGCCATGCATAACAAAGCCTCCTTGCTTTGGCACCAAACTTGTCAACATCTGTGGATGTGATGTTGGACAGAGGGGACGTAGACGTTAGATTATTGGCTCGGACAGAGAGGTGGTGAATAACCCGATGAAGCTTCAAAGGATGAAAAACCATTGGTGGAGGAATGGAGAAAGTTGTGGGCGTACTCCTCCCAGGGTACATGTCAACACCATGATGAGGGGTTATTGTTGATTACCTTGTTATTGTTGAATTCTGCCTCCAGCTCCTGGTTACATTGCTCAGTCTGCCCATTAGACAGAGGATGGTACCCCAATGTGAGGCTGGAGAAAGTTCACAAGGCCTGGCAAAACACCCTCCACATTTGTGAGTTGAACTGGGGTCCTCGAATGGAGACAATGTCATTGGGAATCTCATGCAGCCGAAACACATGTCGAATCACAAGTTGAGCGGTCTCGAAAGCCTTAGGGAGCTTAGGAAGAGGGACACAAGGTGCAGCCTTGGAAAAACAATCAAATATAGTGAGGATGATAGAGTTAACTTCAGATACAGGAAGTTCAGTAATGAAATCCAAGGAGACATGAGACCAAGAATGACTGGGATTGGTAAAGGCTGCAAGAGTCCAGCTGGGGATTGATTAATATCCTTGTTCTGGGCACAGATGTAGCACGCTGACACAAAGCCTCTGATGTCCCTAGTCATGGATGGCCACCAGAAATGACATTTGGTAAAACTTAACGTGGTGAATTCTAGGATGACAAGCAAACTTTGATGCGTGAATCCATTCCAACACTTCACACTTGCAACTTTTGAGAACAAACCTCCACCATGTAGGACCAGTGCAATGGTCAGGTTCATTTTGTAAAGCCTCTTAGATGTCCTTCTCGAAAGGCCACCTCATCACAGCCACCGAACAGGTAGGTTCAGGGTGCATTCACACTAGCCCTGTTTAGTCTGATTTAATCGAACTCTAGCTCGTTTTCCTAGGAAGTCCGGTTCGTTTGGGGAGGTGTGAATGCACCATCGAACTCTGTCATGGAACAAAAAGGCAAACTCTGGCCCGGGTTAAAACCTAGGTCTCGGTCTGGTAGAAGAGAACTCCAGCGCGGTTTGAGTACAGTGTGAATGTAATCAGACTGGGCCCCGCTCCACAAGCAAGAAGTGGAGTACAGCGCAGGACAAACAAACATGCATTTCTCTTACCTCATATGGAGCCGTCAGCTGCCTTGTGTGAAAAACAATATTCTCCATGGTCTTCCGCCTCATCTTCCACTCATGCAGAGTCCATTTTTGAAAAATGACAAAATATAACTCCTAAAATTGCTAAAACTTGATGCCACTCCATTTTTGTTTTTATTTCCAGAAGAAAAAGAAGAAGTGTCTTCAGAGGTTTTGGTGTCGTTTCTTTCAGTAGTTCTTGGTGCAACGCCACCACAGGCGAGTGGGGGAACAGGTTGGTTCAACAGGTTGGCTCGACTGCACAGTGCAGTGTGAATGCAAACGCACCAGCTCAAATGTAAACAAAATGTTATGAATATTGGTCCCCCAACCGAACTGAGTCTAACAGGCTATCAGGTGTGAAAACAACCTCAGGTTCCTGTAGAAGATGGCAAAACCCAGAAAATGTTGGAGCTGTTGTCTTCAGGTTTTGGCCACTCATCCACAACCTTGATATTATCAGGATCCATCCATACCTGTCCACTCTCAAATATAAAGCCCAGAAAGGTTATGGATGACATGGAAATCACATTTCTTGGCTTCAACACACAGTTGATTCTCCATAAGGCATTGAAGAACTGCTCAGACATGAATAGTTTGTTTGTGGGTCTTTGGCGTAGATGAGTATGTCGTCCAAATAAACAAACAAAAACAATTTCAATTCAGTTTCAATTCAGTTTATTTATATATAGCACCAAGTCACAACAGAAGTCCTCTCAGGGCAGTGTACAGAAACATTCATATACACAAAAAGTAAGTTAATAACATTATACATCTGAGGCGCAGATTGCTTTGAGTCAAACGTCATCCCTGTCTCTCATCCTGAGCAAGCACGAAGGCAAAAGTGGAAAGGAAAAACTCCCTCATGAGGAAGAAACCTCCAGCAAAACCAGGCTCAGAACAAGCGGTCATCCGCTTTGGTGGGTTTGAGAGGACAGGAAGGAGGAATGAATACACAATGGCAGGTCAAGAATCACGTTAAGTTAGAAATAATTTCAAATTAAAACTATTAATTTGTAACAATTAATTTTAAGAAATTAGGTCAATTTGTCCTCCAGTAGTCTAAGCCTATGGCAGCATAACAAGCCAACCCTAACTATAGGATTTAATAATCAAAAAGTCATGGAGTGCATCATTGACCAGTGCCTAGAACACAGTAGGGGCATTGGTCAAGCCAAAGGGCATGGCTAGGTATTCAGTGTCCGAGGGATGTCTTTAAAGCCGTTTTCCACTCATCACCTTTACATATTCTGACCAGATGGTAGGCATTTCTTAAGTCCAATTTAGAAAAGATAGTGGTGGACTGAAGATGTTCACATACAGAGTCAATCAGAGATAACAGGTATTTGTTCTTTATTGCTATATGGTTAAAGCCAAAGGCCTTAAACCAGCCACTAGGGAGCACAAGCCAGTGTATCTCTTGTGCCGGTCCCAAGCCCGGGTAAATGGTGAGGGTTGTGTCAGTGTAAAAAACTTTTGCCCAAACCATAATGCGAGTTCATCCAGAGAGAGTCAGAAAGAACTCCATTGTGTCTTTGTGGATTTAGAAAAAGCATATGACAGAGTTCCAAGGGAGGAGGTGTGGTATTGCATGAGGAAATCTGGAGTGGCAGAAAAGTATGTTAGACTGGTACAGGACATGTATGAGGACAGCAGGACAGTGGTGAGATGTGCTGTAGGAGTGACAGATAGCTTCAAGGTGGAGGTGGGATTGCATCAAGGATCGGCTCTGAGCCCCTTCTTGTTTGCTCTGGTGATGGGCCGACTAACAGATGAGGTCAGGCAAGAATCTCCATGAACGATGATGTTTGCAGATGACATTGTGATCTGTGGTGAGAACAGGGAACAGGTGGAAGAGAACTTGGAGACATAGAGGTATGCACTTGAAAGAAGAAGAATGAAAGTCAGCCATAGTAAGACAGAGTACATATGTGTAAATGAGAGGGAGGCTGGTGGAACAGTGAGGCTACAAGGAGCAGAGGTCACAAAGGTGCAGGACTTCATGTACTTGGGGTCCACTGTCCGGGAAAATGGGGAATGTGGTAAAGAAGTGAAAAAGAGAGTCCAGGCAGGATGGAGTGGATGGAGAAAAGTTTCAGAAGTGATTTGTGACAACAGGGTGTCAGCAAAGGTCAAAGGAAAAGTTTGCAAGACAGTGGTGAGACCAGCTATATTGTATGGTCTGGAGACAGTGGCATTGACAAAAAGACAGGAGAAATAACTGGAAGTGGCAGAAATGAAGATGCTAAGGTTCTCCTTAGGAGCGACAAGGCTGGATAAGATTAGGAATTACATAATCAGAGGTACAGCACAGGTTGAACAACTGGGAGATAACCTTAGGGAGGCCAGACTGAGCTGGTTTGGATATGTCAAGAGGAGGGACCATGGGTATATTGGTAGAAGGATATTAGAAATGCAGCTGCCAGGAAAAAGACAAAGAGGAAGGCCAAAGAGGAGATACATGGATGCAGTTAGACATGAAGGTAGTTGGAGTGAGGACAGAGGATGCAGAGGACAGAGTGAGGTGGAGGAGGATGACTCACTGTGGCAACGCCTGAAGAGGGAAAAGCCAAAAGTAGAAGAAGAAGAAGAAGAGGTTAAAGCCAAAGGCCTTAAAGACTGATCTTGTGAGGCCACAAAAAACAAACAAACACAAAAAACAGCGCCCAAAGAAGAAGTGGAAGGACAAATAAGACCAGAGGCAAGAGACTCCTCGATGTAATGTTGCATGGTCTCTTTTTTGGAGCCAGAGAGGTTGTACAGCCATTCTGGAAGGTAGGAGGGCCCCAGGAAGAAAGTCAAAGCCATAATCGTATGGTGGTAGAGAGAGCCTAATCTTTGCTGAACACTGGACCCAAGTCACAATATCCATCAATTCGTTTCTCTACTTAGTTGTTTTGAGAGTTGTGCCTCTGGAGCCAGGAGTAACCCAAAATAACTTGGGGTGTGAGCACATTGAAAACAAAGAACACACCCTCTTCATGGTGAATTCCAGAGATGACAAAATGGATTCTTGAAGTTTTATGGGCGATTGAAGTGTAGGTCTGACAAACTGCAGTACCCATCATGGGAATACCCTTTTAAATGGGCTGGGTAATTTGCAGTAAAGTGGGCTGTCTTACCACAATAAATACACTCTTAGCTGTTCAGTTGTCTTTCTTCAGGAGTAAGCTGAGTGTGACCAAGCTGCATTGGTTCGGGTCCTGGGTCTGGCATCACAGGTATGGTTGGAGATGTAGAGGAAGGAAACTGAGCAGTCTGGAAACCGGAAATCTGGTGGAACTGGGATTTGTAGTTTTGTTCTCATTGTCTCTCCCGAATACAATCATCAATGTAGATAGCAAGACAGATCAATCCATCAAGGTCTCTTGGTACCTCACAGGTGGATAACTGATCCTTTACTTTTTTGTTGAGAGAGTTTATTAACATACCTCGTAAGGCCTTCTCCCCACAGCCAGACTCTTCTGCCGTGATCCGGAAGTGAATGTAGTGTTCCAATACTGTACCTCTGTCCTGACATAGGGATAGTGAATGTTTGGCTGCTTCCTCTTACTGGAGAGGGTGAGCAAAATCTCAGAGAAATATTTAAGGAAAGTCTGAAAAGTTAATGTTCCAGAGAGTGAGACAAGGTAAGCGTGGGACCAGAGCAGGGCATCTGCTTTCAGTGTACTGATAATATGTGTAATATTTGCAGCATCAGAGGCGTATGTACTGGGAATTTGACTGAAAGCTTATTTTTATTGCAAAATAAATCCCCCACAATGATCCAGGTTACCTTCAAACAGTTCGGATGGTCTAATGTCTGGCTCATGGGGAACTTCAGGAGTATGCTGGGTCGGGTGCAGGAATAGTTGCGGCGGCTTTAGGTAGAGGTAATAATGCGGCCAACTTTTGGTTGATTTTGAACATCATGCTCCCCAGCTGTACCATGTTGGCCTTGGTGGACCTTTGTTCCTAAAGGTCCCCACATACTCGGGCATACATCACTCCATGGAGGTCCATGTGTACTCGAGGCAGACTCAATGCACACTTGAAGTGGACGTCCGCCGGACATGTCTGCGCAAAGATAAATTGTTATGGCCGTGTACGTGTACCCGGTGTTGCACAACCGGGCAACTGTGTTCACATCAAACTGTTTTGTATACGACACCAACTGCTTTCTGTGTTCTGAGCAACCAGTCTCAAGGACGCGTAGCACAGCTGTCGTTCTCTGTGCAGCGCTGACAGGTGTGCGGTGGCTGCCCTGGTGGTGAAGAAACGAGGCTAAGTGCGCAACTAGCTCATCGAACTTGCTAGAATCCATTAGAAAATATTCTAAATGTTTCTCGCTGTCCATCATCTTCATGTCCCACCTTCTTTTCTTTTGTTTTTTTTTTGCCAAGAGGCAAGCAATCTTTTCCTCCTCGTCCATTGATGCCATGACTGAAATTGTGAGAAATTAAGGAATTTGTCATAAGATAATTCAAATCTGTACGCTCGAGTATGAAGACTCAACTGTCTGCGGACAATATGCGCAAAGTCCGCGTGGCTCATGAAGTATGCATAGTACAACAGAGTATGTGGGGGCCTTTAGGCTTTGCTGGCCGGGAGGGGATTACCAGGAGTGACCAGGAAAACCACAATTGTGACAGGTAGTGCAGGTGAACAGTAAATGGCAGGATGGGCTCAAGAGCATTGGTTTCCAATAATTTTCAGTCAGGTCATCTGGACAGTTTTTTTTTTTTTTTCTGAAATGTTTCAGCAAAAAAAAAAAAAAAAAAAAAAAAAACTGTCCAGATGACCGGACTGAAAAATGTTGGACTGTATACCTGGATTATTGACCATGGACTTTTTTGGTTTTGAACCAGTTTCACTTGACTGTCGATTAGGAAGAGGGCCGGCAACAGAGGAGGAGGAGTGCCAAAGACACCATCTTAGCACCAACATAACTGGTTTGTTCCACTTTGAAGTAAGCAGTTTAGGGGTAGAATCAGTTTTGTTGTGTGTTTCCTTGACTGATGAAGCCTTCCAGATGGAAGGTGAAACGTTTCAGCAAAAAAAGAAACTGTCCAGATGACCTGACTGAAAATTGTTGGATTGTATACCTGGACTATTGAGCATGGACTTTTTTAGCATTGCTTTTCCTTTTAAGGCTGGAGATCATCGATGGAATGTCCAGAAGACAACAGCGATTACAAGAGATTGAACCTTAGGTGAAGGCATTGCCCAATCAGATTTCTTCTTTGTAATTAAGATGGTTAAAGGAGATGCATCCAAGTAAAAGTACACATTTTATTGAGGAAATGTAGTGGAGTAAAAGTGAAAGTCGTTAGAAATGTAAATAACGAAGTAAAGTAAAGATGCATCAAAATTCTACTTAAGTATAGTAACAAAGTATTTTTACTTTGTTACATTATAACACTGCATTTAAGCAATACAAAAATTAAAAAGCATAGTTTCCTCAAATATTCAACGAGATGCAGCCACACATCAAAATGGAAGTCAGCATGTTGCTTATTTTTCCAATTATTATGCTCACAAAATATATGGACAGACAGAGTGAGGGTATTTCCAGTTTTATTTCGTATAGGCTTCGCCCTTTAAGGCTATCGCTAGTGGGTTTATCCCTTCGCACGCAGCGCAGCACTGAAAACTTTAGTCCACGCCCACCTGCTGTGTGGGCCTCACCCCCGGTCCGTATAAACTACGGTGAGACCGGGTAATCGGCTCCCATTTTTTCTTCAGCCAGCTAGCTAGCACTGTCAGAAGAACGAAGAAGGAAAAGTTGTCCAGCTTTGTCCGGCACAACCTTTGCTAAGGATGCCTGGGTCCCCGCCACACCAAACTCCTGTCATCCCAGTGAGCTCTTCCTCCCCGAGGAGAAGCAGAGACGAGCAGCCTTGTTCAAAGTAAGCGCAGAGGAGTGCTTTTCCGTGGCGGGCTGCTACCTGCTGGACGACGCCATTGCCTTTTCTAATGTTTTTTCCTCGTGGTGAATCGGATGATTCCCTCAAAAAAGGTGATGTTAGCAGCAGCTCTGCTGAGTGGTTTTTTCCCGTGGAGGGCTGCTACTCGCTGGACGACGCCATCGCCTTTTCTAACGTGTTTTCTTCGTGGTGAATCGGATGATTCCCTCGATAAAAGCGTTGGCAGCAGCTCCACTGAGTGTTTGTTTGTGGCGGGCCGCTACTCGCTGGACGACACCATCGCCTTTTCTAATGTGTTTTTCTCTTGCGGTGAATCAGATGGTTCCCTCGAAAAAGGCGATGCGGGCAGCAGCTCCGCTGAGTGTTTTTTTCCGTGGCGGGACGCTATGCGCGGGACGACGCCACCGCCTTTCCTTGACGCAGAGTCAAGTGTGCATTGAGCAGATGCAAATATGCTGATGGTCCTGAGGCCACTGGATGCATCAGATCATCTGATCGGTCCAAAGATTTGATCAACTCTCAGTCAAATGATACTTTCAGCAGCTCCTGGAGGCCACGTCATACAGTAAGACGGCAGTTCGTTCAAGAAAACGGAGACAAACATAACAAACAGTGTTGAGGTTTGTTTTGTTTTATGAGCCTGTAAAGTGATCCCCTGGCACTGGGCTAGCCATTAGCCTAGCATGGATAGATACAAATCACCAGACTATCCCTTTAACAGTTGACATGAGTGTCACATGTTTTAAGCTGAGAGTTAATGCCCTCACCCTCAAGCCATCCTAACGTATCGTCCAACTTCATGTCGACTCGACCACCTTCACTGAGGTGTCTGGAGATGACCGGCCGGTTCCCCCTGTAGTCTGCCACAGTGGCAGTGTACAGTTCTCCATCTGATACAGACACATACACACATTACTACAGCACTTAATGACAACACTCCACTGTACAACAAACAAAATGATTAGAATATGTCTGCCATACAAGTTGGATTCCTCAGTTTTTGCTATAACTCTTTCTGTTAAAGGGATCTCTGACTAACTGGACATATTGGCCTTAAAATGTTATTTCTCTGCTAATACATGTTGTTGTTTGTGTCGCGAAAACTCCTGATTACTTTAAAAATTAGACATGTTTATTACATTTTTCATCTAAGGAGTCACCATTATTTTACTGGCACAGTGCATTCTGGAGCGATGACGTACATCAGTTGTAATGAGAGACCAAAACACGAGCCAAGGCTAGAAAGTCAGAACATGTGACAATAAATTTATATTGTGTAATAATTCTTATGCTTAATATATGGGTCAAATAGATCAAACGCGATCAACTTGTGATGTTTATTTTATTATTTCTGGAGCTAATGCCGTATAGATTAGCTCTGGATTAGCTTCAGAGCTATATCCAAAATTAAGATTCAAGCTGAGTGAAGCTTGTACCAGACAGACCAGTCTCTGTCATTTACCCAGAATGCATTGCAGCGTAAATGAAATAGTAACATCAGTGTGTCATTAATTTTAAAAACATAAAAATTAAACAGCAAAAGTATTTTTACTGTGTCGTTTTTATAGCTGAAGTAATTGTTTATCAAATAAGGTTTATTGTTTCAACTAAAATGATTCCTTTAAATTATTCTCCAGTGGGGCAGCACGGTGGCGCAACTGGTAGAGCTGCTGCCTCTCAGCGAGCAGGTCCCTGGTTCAAACCCCGGTCCAGGGGCCTTTCTGGGTGGAGTTTGCATGTTCTCTCCGTGCATGCGTGGGTTTTCTCCGGGTACTCCGGTTTCCTCCCACAGACCAAAAACATGCATGTTAGGCTGATTGGTAACTCTAAATTGTCCCTAGGTGTGAGTGAGAGAGAGAATGGTTGTTTGTCTCGTTTGTCTCTATGTGGCCCTGTGATGGACTTGCGATCTGTCCAGGGTGTCCCCCGCCCCTCGCACAGTGATTGCTGGACATGGGCACCAGCGACCCCCGTGACCCAAAATGGAATAAGCGGGTAAAGATAATGGATGGATGGATATTCTCCAGTGTTCTTTTATATTTCTTACTGTACAGAAATCAGTTATTTAAATCAGTCACTTACACACATTTTGGACTGAGTTATAGTTCCTGCTTTGTTTTAAAATGTCACACAAATCTTGTCAGTAGCAGCATGGTGGAACAGTTGGTAGAACTGTTGCCACTCAGCGAGAAGGTCGCCGGTCCAAATCCCGGCCCGGGACCTTTCTGGGTGGAGTTTGCATGTTCTTGCAGTGCATGCGTGGGTTTTCGCCAGGTACTCTGGTTTCCTCCCACAGACCAAAAACATGCATGTTAGGCTGATTGGTAACTCTGAATTGTCCCTAGGTGTGAGTGAGAGAGTGAATGGTTGTTTGTCTCATTTGTCTCTATGTGTCCCTGTGATGGACTGGAGACCTGTCCATGGTGACCCCCACCTCTCCCACAGTGATTGCTGGACATGGGCACCAGTGACACCCCCCCCCCCCACCCCCCCCTGACCCACAGAATGGAAGAAGCGGGTAAAAGATAATGGATGGATGGCAAATAAAATGTCCTTTAAAAACATTGGTGAGAAATAAATTAACCTGTGACACAATTTTAAATAAGTTGCTTGATTTCCTAATATTACTTTAACCTTTTCAGAACTGACACAGCATATGCACTCTATCACTATTTTATAATAATCATAAAGCAAAGTTCTTATTAAAAAACAAACAAACAAAAGCTGACGGTTTAACTAATTTCAGTGATTTTTACATTAAGTTTTTAGCAACTTCAAGTCAGTTTCATGAACACTTTAAATTAATAATCACAAGTTTCCCCCAAATCTGCCAAATTCCAGAACTTATTTTTTCTGCAAAAGCTTAAATTTTTGAGTTAAAAAAAAAAGTAATTTATCTTCTCTGCAGAGCATAACTACTTCTCCAGGCTCTCTTCCACCTGCTTCATACTCTCTCTACAGATCACATTGTTTTCTCCTAACATTACAGTCCAAAGCAACATCCGCCGACCTCTCTTGGCAATTCAGAGGTATAACAGTGGCTGGTTGACATCAGCCTCTGTCCAAAGATACTGTAGATCTCACTGAGACAAGAAAAGACATCTCAGGCCTGACTTAAACTAGATTGTGGAAGGGACTTTTCTCCACTCTTTAGCTATTATCAATCAAGAAAGCCAATCAGATTAGCTGCATATTTGGCTCGATCATCTTTGGGTATTTTAGAGGAGAAATGTGAGGCCTGCATTTGTCACTAACTTGACCCTTACTGAAAAATGTAGATGGTAATAAACTTGAAATTGTTGTGATGTTTGATCAATAAAACACTTTCACTTAATGTGGCGTGTGCTTTTACAAGCCTAAAATAAAAATAAAAAAAATGCAGAAAAAACATTTCACAAGAAGCTCATTTTTCTTTTCTACATTACCACTAGTATTTTTTATACTAGTGTCATTCATGATAAAAATGATAAGTTTCAACACAAATGTTAGAACAACCAAAGTAAAGAAAACCAACTTTTAGTGTCTACTTTCAGTTTTTGGATCCTTGCAAAGGTTAGAGATGGTTTTGATCTTATAAGTAACAACACCACCATGAAATCTGAAACGATTCTTGTTTGAAAAATCTTCTAAAGTGGTGTAAGTGTGAATTCACTTCCTCCATACAGAGTAGATCCATTACAAGGTTGATTATTAATGAAACCTACATCAGTTATAAGGTCATCTTATCAGGTGTCTTACCCACAATGACAGCAGTGCTGCGCTGATAGGGGTCATAAGGGCAGCGACCTCTTCCTTCATCGGTGTTGGGGCTCATTGTTAACGTGTCCGAGTGCTGTGAAAATGAAGAATTTTACCACCATAAACAAGTCATGGGAAAAAGTTCACCCTCCTACAGTCTTACAA